TCCTTGCCACAGTGGCCAAGTTTTACACCTTTATTAAATGTCTTTACCATTGATGTAGTTCATTCCCATCAATCACTGATTTGATGAAATCTCACATGATTGGTTGGTTCATATTAATCTGTGAGCTTTGTGAAAATATGATTAATTTCATATTAGTTTGTTTATTAGATATATCACACAGTCAGTGAAACAGTATTATTGTTCACTGGATGACAAAGTTTCGAACAAAATTCATCACCGTTCATAATCATGTGATCAATTATAATCACACCACTTCGAAACTTGAGTTTTATAGTTTCTTTCTTTGTTCTCTCCTATTTGACGTCGTAGGGGTAGTAGAATTTTTCAGATGTCCAACTGGACAGCTGTTGAATCATTCCTATTACATGTATTTGCAGTTGATTCGATAAACAAAGCTTCCGTTATCAATCTCTCCCTCCACCCTGTGACATTAGATTTTAAACTGTCATCTTATCCCATCCCTTCCTATTGTATGGTTGTTTGTAATTGCAAGCAGTGAGTGCTATAGCTGAACTATTCTCTAGATTTTTTTATCTTATTCCGGTCAACTAATCTAGATTTTGCTAGGTTCTTATGCTCGGCTAGTCTGACTGCCCCTGTTCTACTAGTTTGACCTATGTATTTGACCTGACAGTCATTTCAGGCAGGGTATTAGATAAACTAAATTGTTTTGTTTTATTGGCTCCACTGGCAGGATGCGTTAACCGACAAAGCTTGTTTCTAATTGAGTTTGTGGGTTTGAATGCCACTTTTATTCCTGCCTTGTTAAAAATTCTGCTTAAGGCTTCCGAGGTTCCTTCTTCGTATGGAATTACTACTGATGATTTAGATTCCTTATTGTTGGTGTTGTCATTATCTTGCGGATGTTTGACATGCATGTCGTCATTACTATTATTATTATCACTATCACTACTATCATTATTTATTTTACTTTTACATTTCCCTGCATACTTTCTGATTAATTTATCAGGGTAATCATTAAGTTTCAAAGCCTCTCTTGAATTCATCACTTCCTGTCTTAGATTTTCCTTGGTACTGCTTAGTTTTTGTGCTCTATTATTTAAACACTTCACCAATCCTATTTCACGGACATAGGATGGGATAATCGGAAGTCCAAATATTTGTTTGAATATGTGGGTTTCCTGTGAACACTAGTGTTTAATTTCCCATCTTCTTTCCTTTTTACGCTGCAATCTAACATTGGAAGCTCCCCTTCCTGACTTTCCAATTCATAAGTGAATTGAATTGCCTCCACCTTTGAGTTAATGTGTTCGAAAAATCTATGTATATCCTGCGTTCTAAGTACAGTGACAGAAGCTTTGTTTATCGAATCAACTGCAAATACGTGTAATAGGAATGATTCAACACCTGTCCAGTCGAACATCTGGAAAATTCTACTACCCCTACGACGACAAATAGGAGAGAACAAAGAAAGACTATAAAACTGAAGTTTCGAAGTCGTGTGATTATAATTGATCACATGATTATGAACAGTGATGAATTTTGTTCGAAACTTTGTCATCCAGTGAACAATAATACTGTTTCACTGACTGTGTGATATATCTAATAAACAAACTAATATGGAATTACTTACTACCACAGTACCCAAGTTTTACACATATATGATTAATTTCAGCTAAAAATATTGATTTGCCATGAACTCTTGATATAAGTATAAAACTTGGGCACTGTGGTAGAGTATAACTCCATTATGGATAAGATTTTATTTTGATAAAATCACACAGTGTTATACAATAATAATATTTACTGATGACCACGTTCTAAGCACAATTTATTACTGCTCATAATCATATCAAGGCATTACTCACACAACTTTCTTGATTCCTTTATATACATGAGTAAAAATTGATGATTAGACATTTGAATAAAATCAATATAAGATAAAGTACACTCGGAAGTAATATTAGTGTTATCAATCAAATACAATCAGATGGGAAATAAGACGAGTGTTTTTTTATAGTAAAAATAAGTAACTTCTTAGAATGTTATAATGTGAATTGAATACATTTTAACATTATTTATTATCCTCCTCTGATTTGACTGGTAGTAATAATATCTTCCATATCTCTGGTATTTGCGTTGAGTCACTTCTATTGCATATGTTGAATGTAGATTCGATGAACAAAGATTCAGTCATGAACCTCTCTCTCCACCTACTTATATTCAGTTTTGAATTTTGACTCTGTCCCACCCACCCTATTGTGTGGTTGTGTGTTAATGCACGCAGCGCTATAACTGAGATAAGTAATTTAGAAAGAAACTCAGCTATAGCGCTGCATGCATTAACACACAACCACACAATAGGGTGGGACAGAGTCAAAATTCAAAACTGTAATATAAGTAGGTGGAGAGAGAAGTTCATGACTGAATCTTTGTTCATCGGATCTACACTCATTCAGTCAAATTCCTTACAAAGCAAACAACTTAATCAATGAGTATGTAAAACAATTTTTGAGTAATACTGAAAGCATGAAACCTTCTACTGTCTAGGAGAAGGAGGGAATACGGCGGCGAAGACAGAGGATTCCTTATTTATTTGTTTATTTTATTCCTTTATGTTCCTAGTGGAACATAGGGCTCAAGGCTAGAGTTTGGAAATTTTGGTAAGAGTGGGTTTATTTTTACAGGGTGGGGTTGCTAGCCTCACATCCAGCCTTCCCTCTTTACCGGCCTTAGTAGTGGCTTAGCGAGGTCTAGGAGAGCGTCAGCAGCCTGGGATCGAACCTACCACGTGGTTGACGTTCTACCGCTGAACCACAGACGCACGAAGACAGAGAATAATACAGACAAATACTAATACAAATCCAATTATCCTACCACTGTGTATGCCTATCAACCTTCCTACTACTAATAATAATAATTTGCTTTATTCCAAAACAGTACTTGTGATACAGAATGGAATTCTCAGCATTTTTACTACAGTATTGCATCCAGTTAGTACATTAACAATAAATAAAATTCTACATAGATTAAGGAAATCTCAGTTCATTATGACAACAACATATTGGCATGTCGGTAGCAAAGCCAAAGCTGAACAGTGTTTGAAGGTGTTAGAAAAGTAGGTGCTATCATATTTACTGGCGTAAGCGGAAGAAAGAAACAAAGCAGCACATAACAGAAAAAAAGAGAGAGAAAAGGAAAAGAAAGAAAGAAAACGTTGTACCTACAAATGATATGAGTTGGAAAGACGAGATCCAGTTGTACTACTGACTATTTAATGAATTATAGGTGTCACGCCTAATGCTTTCTTTATCACACAGAACACGAGCTAAGTAGGGTATGGTTGAGTTTTTGTACTTGCTAGTGCGAGCATATAGTTTTCTATATAGGCTTCTGGTCTTGCCTGATGAGATACAAGGGGAGAGTTGTGAATGAAGAGGGTGGTGTGAGTTAGATAGAATGGATTTGGCCCATTTTTCACATGAGTCCAAGTGCCGCTGTCGACCAGAATATTAACAAGCTGGTTAAGTGGCACATTGCTTACCCTGCTGACAACCTTTAACATCCTGTGTAATATGTTATAGTCTTTCTTCAGTAGCCCTGGAAAAACTAAGGGGGAACAATAGAGAATAATAGGCAGAATGCGAGAGTTAACGAATTGTAGGAGTAAGGGTTGGGTTATACCAGAATGTCTTAACTTCTTGATGTAGAAGGTAAGACGGAATATTTTCTTAGAAATCGTCAAGATATGAGACGACCAGGAAAGATCAGCAGATAGAATGACGCCTAGGTATTTAATTTCCGACTTGGTTTCTATTTCAGTGCCATCTATGTTGCACACCTCGTGAGAGCTAACCAGTTTGTTTAGGTCAGATTTATGCCTAAAGGTGAAATTGACTGTTTGGCATTTGGAGGGGTTTAAGGTAAGACCGTTTTCCTTGGACCACTGGCTGATTTCTGATAGAAAGCCATTAAGTTTAGAGCAGTCACTTTGACATTTGACAGGCAAAGATACAGTCAGGTCGTCAGCATATTTGACAAAATTAATGTCATTTGAAGATGGTAAGTCATGTAGAAAGAAAGAAAAGAGAAGTGGGGAGAGTACAGCACCTTGGGGGACACCAGCTTCAGTGAGCACAGCAGAGGAGGATTTACCTTTGTATACGGTGTACTGCTTTCTGTTAGAGAAGTAGGAATGCAACCAGTTAGTGACCCAGGACTCAGTTTGTGTCATAGAGAGCTTATTTAGCAAGAGACATCTAGGTACAGAGTCGAAAGCAGAAGTGAAGTCGAGAAACGTGCAGCGGACGTATTTGGCACCTTTATCTAATGATGAGACGATACTGTTGTGTAAGACGGCTGCAGCGTCTAAAGTGCTCCTACCCTGTCTATAGGCAAATTGTTTGGGGTCTTAAAAGCTTTTAAGGGAGGGTTCAAGTTTAAGAAGTACTAGTTTTTCCATAAGCTTTAGAAACGGGGAAGTGATGGCAATGGGTCTGAACTTTACGTTCTTGCTAATGCCAGGTTTAGGGACAGGGACTATTTTAATGTCTTTCCATGCAACAGGTACAACGTTTTTGGAGAAAGAAGCATTTAGGACGTTAGTTAGTGGAGAACATAAAGCATCTGCACATTGTTTTAGAACATATGCAGGAATACCATCAGGGCCAAGGCTACGTGAGGGCTTAAGCGTTTTAAGACATTTTAGAACATCGAGAGCATTAAAGTCATGAAAGTTATCAGCTACATGATTAGTAACATTAGAAGTAGTTATAGTAGAAGGAGAGCGTATAAAAGACTGATTAAGAGCAATAACATCATAAGAGGGAACTCATAATAACCTGCATTATTCTATTTCATTTGCTTCGAGACTTAAAGACCCTGTAGCCTATCCATTATAAGATTATACACACTGTCCAATAATGTCAAGTAGTATCTGTTTAACATTGAAACTTGAATAAAGCATGATTATTTTCAACACTTTCATAAAAGTAAAAACTGCTATAACTTCAGCTTACTTAAATCTTTTTCATTCGATTTCCGTAAAGAGATCAGTATACACTGATTACAATAACATTCACGATATGGACATGTTTTTTTATGACCTTTCCATGAAATACTTTGACCATGATTACGACATCTACGACAATGTGGTCCAATATCCTCAGCAATTCTATCCAATGCTCCTTTCATTGTAATAATCTCTTTAGTTGTTGTTGATGATGATAATGATAATGATGATGAACGAGGATCTTTTGAATGCGTTAAATACTTATAATGTGAATTATGACTTTTTTGATCACGAAATAAAGCAATCTGTTGAGCGACAATACGACGACCTTTTTCAACAAGATAACACATATCACATGTACAGTCACGAAATGGACAGTTGCGTTTATGTTGTCTAACAGGTTCAGACATTCCGTGTCCTTTACACTTACGACATTTATACGGGGAACGTGTTAGAATACTACCATTATTATTATTATTATTATTAGATGATGTCAGTGCTTTGTTTTGTTTCAATTTTGAGCACATTTCATAGTTTATCGAGTGTTTTACAGGTGCATTCATTTGTGAAGTTGTCTGTTTCAATACACTATTGGTGTTGTTATTGATTGAATCGATTAGCTGACAGGTAGTATTGTTTAATGGAGTCGAATGATTTTGCGGGGATTTTAAATTGTAACTAAAATTACTGTTGATTATATTATTACTACTAGTAGAAGCAACAGTAGTGGAAGTAGTCGTCGTAGTATTGGCAATTGCAGTTGTTGTTGCTGTTGTACGATATGTCAACTTTTGTGTTAATCGATTTGTTTTAGGCGCTTGACGATGATACTCCGGCGAGTATGTCTGTTGATTGCTACGAAATAATAATTCTGAAGATTTTCCATGCATTGTATGAATAGAAGGTCTATGCTTTCTGCTAGTGCTCAGTCCAGTACGTAATGAATACAAGCATTTATTGTGTGAACTGTTTACTCCACTATGCCTGTTTGTTTTTACTCGTGTGCTTTCGTGTAAATTAGGGATATGACAGTTTGTACTAGTGATTGGATTCGATAATATCTGATTGTGTAGATTAGTGTCTCTGTAAAAAAAGAAAAAAAAGGAGTAAAGAACAGACAGGACAGGACAGATTACAAAAGGGATATATTCAGTGAATATTCTATCAGGGATCATTTTCAAATGTTAGAAATTTCACTTTGTAGTAAGGAGAACGCTTTTGTTTTACATAATTCCCGCATCATACACCACTTACAAGGGTCGGCGTTTCAACAGTAGGATGCTACGTCAATCATACACGAGATTCAGCTTCGATTCCCCTCTGATACACTCTTAGACCTCGTCTAGCTGGTGACAAGACTGGTAAAGAGGGAAGGTTGAACCGAGAACTGGACGTCTCACACCATCTCTACTAAAACTTCACAGCCCAAACTAGAAGCCCTATGTTCCACTTAGAACGCAAAGGATTGAATACACACACTACTAATAAAACTTTCTACAGTTGTTTGTGTCTTCCCCCTGTCCATATCAGATATCAACCTATCGATATAGATTAGTTGTAGTTTATGCTTTTAACGAAGGCGTATTTCAGTAGTATAACATTGTTAGTATCACAAGCAAAAGTTACAAGAGTTGATTACTTACACATCGACTAGCTAAAGTCACGTCAAGAAGAAAGAATAAGATTCTTTGACGGTATAAAAAATTAAGAAAACAAAAGGAAAGAAGCCGCTAGGTAAGATTAGCTAAAGGAAGAACATAAAATACCCAGAGTTGTCATTACTCTAATGAGAAGTCGTGAACAGAGGGGGCCACGAAGTCTGGTGAGACAACAGTTACTCGCTGGCGGTTGCGCCAGATATAAATATCACGAATCGGCAGAAGGTGGAATTCATGAACCATTGGGTCAGGTTCCAGTGGCCGAATGGTTTAAGAGCTTGCCTTTTAACCGGAATGCCCTGGGTCCGAACCCTGGCGATGGGTGCGTACTGATGAAGAGTTTCAGACTAGGAGGCAACAACTGCCCAGTACTCCCAGGTTTTCCAAGGGTTCTCTAACTGATGTCAACTCATGATGTAACCTATAAATAATCAAATCCCTGCAAACCAACACTTGATAAAATGTGAATATACCTACGAAGGAATGATGAATGTAACCTATTCAGTAAGGAATTATTATTAAATTATTGTTCCCTAGGGTTCCTAGTGGAACATAGGGCTTCAACTGCACGCCTCCACTTGCTTCTGTCTTCTGCTGTACTTTTCACTTGCATCCATGTTAGTCCATACTGTTTCAGCTCCTCTTCACACGATCTCCTCCATGTCACCCTTCGACGTCCCACTCGCCACTTCCCTTTCGAGTTCCACTCGAGCGTTGGCCTGACGCGCGATGTCACCCAGCGGCCTCCTCAGTGAGTGTCCAATCCATCTCCACTTTCTCCTGCATATTTGTTGAGCGATTGGTTCTTGTTTTGTTTGTTCCCATAGTTTCTTGTTGGTTCTTGTTCTTTCCGGCCATCTGATCTTCAGTATAGAACGAAGACAGCTGTTGATAAAGGTCTGCAACAGGCTGTTGGAAATATTCTTTGTGACCCGCTGGCAAGTTTCTGATCCGTATAGAAGAACTGACTGACTTGACGTTTGTATTGAAAATCCGAATTTTGTTGTTGATGCAGGCTGAGTGACGAAGATTTCCAGATTGGTTTGAGGTTGATGAATGTGTTTCTCGCCTTCCCGATTCTCGCTCGATTTGACATCCTCGTCCGTTCCTCCTGTAGTTGAGACAATGCTCCCTAGATAAGTGAATGAAGTAACCTCTTTCAATTCCCTCCCGTTGATGGTGATTGGCACTGGATGTTGCTGCTGCTGTTTTTGTTGTTGGTTGGTTATTTTCATAACCTCCGTCTTGTCTATGTTCACCTGGAGTCCTGTCTTTGCTGCTTCTTCGACCAGTTTGTCGGTTTTCGCTTGTAAGTCTCCGATTTCGTGTGACATCAAACATAAGTCATCCGCGAAATCCAGGTCTTCTAGGTTCTTCACGTCGGTCCAGGATATCCCTGTCTTCTCGTTTCCCACTGTCTGACGCATAATCCAGTCCACCAGAATTAGGAATATCATTGGTGATAATAAGCACCCTTGTCTGACTCCTGTGTGTTTACTCCAAACTCCTCGCTGAGTTTTCCGCTGTGGATCACTTTACATGTGCCGTTGTCGTACAGCTGTTGAATAAGGTTGATGAATATTTCGGGTACGCCGTAGTACTTGAGTAGTTTCCAAACCTCGCCTAGATTATCCCTAGTTTTCTAGCCGGTCCCAAGCCTGGATAAAGAGGGAGGGCTGGGGCGTGGTGCTAGCAACTCCACCCCCAAAACTTAACCAAATTGCTACAGAAACTTCAACGCACAAATATATTAAAGATTCTAAAAATATAAACAATAAGGAATAATACATTATAATACTGACCGCTATGATCTGAAAAAAGAGATAATTAGAGTTGTGATAATCATGATTATTATTACTATAAATATACACTTTCTCCCAAACGATAATTTCCATACTAGATGTAAAACTTATTTTGAAAAGAGAGAACACATACTTTGAACATCACTGACTTCACTTGTCTAGACACAATCGTTTCAGTTACAGGCAGAACGAATGAAGATGTCAAAGCCAGAATGTTAAATCGGCCAGCTCTTCTATATGAGTCAGAAACTTGCACCGCGTGTCACCAAAATCATTTCGAACAGGCTATTGCAAACTTCTATCAATGGCTGCATTCTCTGGCTTCATACTGAAGATCAAATTGCCGGTTGGAAAGAATTAACAACAAGAAACTACGGGAACAAACCAACAAGCAAGAACCTATTGCTGAACCAATAAATATGTTGAAGAAAATGGAGATGGATTAGGCACACGCTGAGGAAACCGTTTAGTGACATAACACACCAAACAGGCCATCACTCGAGTGTCAGCGGAATGGGAAACGATGGGCTGGGAATGAATCCGAGGGTGATACGGTAGAGATCACGTGAGGAGGAGATTAGAGACTATTGGTGGTCGTGGGGCTAGCTGAAAAGGATCGCAGAGAATAGGAAAAAAGTGGAGATTTGCTGCTGAAGCCCTACTTCCCATTCAAAACCCAAGGGAACGATAACAATACGTGGGAAGCTCCCATTGGGACATATAGAAAATCAAAACAAGTGGTTCAGCGAAGCGACTCTTTTCAAGCTACACAATCGTAGATATTTAAGAAATTATAAACGGTGAGGGAATTGAATCAAAAGTGTGAATACATAAAATAATAATAGTATGAAATGCAGTTAAACTGTTTGTGATTATAATCATAGTTAAATGTCAAATGGGAAAGTAATTAATGTCATGCATGGAACAATTCATCGGATTTATAGATGTTGGAAGGGGGTGTAAAATTATAAGATTACTAGGCAAATGAATGAAATTCGAAATTTGCCATTCTACACAGTTCGAGGAGGTGGAATTTCATCACCGTTTTGTTTGGAAACTGAAATTATTCGGACGACAGTAAGTGATCTCCTTGATGTCATCAGTGGTAATCAAGAAACCAAGTAATAAACACAAATGACGCTATATACTACTGACCAGGTGGTAGTGCTTGTGAAATGGCCGTCCGGTGTTCACATCACATATCGATTTGGCTAAAAAGCAGGAATGTTTGATCTGAGTGGTGTTCAACAACTACTCATTCCAATCAGTCAGTAGTATGTAGTGTAACAGAATTGGTCACCTTCACACTTGAATTATACACAAAATAGGGGTAGATAAATACAGAAACGACAATGCAGTAAACAGAGAGAGAATACTTTGTTGAAAAACAATGACGATATTGAGTATTTCGAATTTCTTAAAGAAAACAGAATACAACTGCATCAGTGTGAAGGAATATAAGTCTTCACTCAATGACTCTTAACATCCCAAAGATTCCAGACAAGTAATCCAAACATTCCTATATTCCCTAGACTAATAACCATGAATTTCGATGATTGATTTCATCATTTGGTGTAATTGTCACTCGTTAAAAGTTTTGTTCCAATCCAATATAAAAAGACTTTTGTCAGAACACTATTTTACTGGAGTGTAGTGTAAATACTAATGTTTTTGAAGCATTGTTTTAGTTTGTACTTGAACTGTACTTTGAACTGGCTCCAATACCCATGTGAGCTTTTCCCTTGTGCTGTCAATACTCACATTCCTTGAGTTTGTAATAAAGCCATTACATCCGTCAGATAAGTTCTGGACCTTTTGCTATGGATTTTATTTTACTCAAATATACTGTGCACTAGAGGACATTTCCATAATACCAGGTTAGGTAGAGTACTGAATTATTGGATAACTAGGCGAAAGCTGCCTGGTAAAGTGTAGCATATTGACAACACTACCAGTACTTTACAGTAGCATGGAAAATTTCAATCTAACAGGTCCAATGAACACGAAATAAGAATGGATATCCTGAGAAGTTCATTAATAAATACTCTAAAGAAATGAGCCCCAGTAAAACTATCGAAACAGTTCCAAAGAAATCTGTCTATATCAATTTTCAATTCAAAGCAGATGATGTATACAAGAAGTAGTCAAACGATGACTCGATAAACCTGTCACGAGAACTTATTATGCTGCAAAACTCATCTTCCTTAACGCCACTACCAAGCAGGTGATTCAACAATCTGTGAAAGACCAGTCGTCAATCCTCAACACTTCAAACCGCATATATCAGTTTGTGTGTGTTTGTAGAAGAAAACACATATGTCGTACAGAAAGGCGATTGTCTACTCGCATGATGGAGCATTTGCCAAAATGGTTGAAAACACCTGAAGTCAAAGTATCAAAAAGTTCAATAACAAAACACCTTGTGGACTACGGACATGATACTGACGCTGTCAAGTCATTCACTGTTGTCAGCAGACAGACAAAGAACAGGAAGATGCTTGTAATTACGGAAAATGGTGGTCACTCTGAATCTACCATGGTAAAATGTTATACTTATTGACTGTTATTACTATTAATAATAATACTAGTTTGTTCTGTCTCTTATTATAACTATTTCTGATTC